AAATTGGGGCATTAAAAACTACAGATCTCTCCCTTAATGATAAATCTTATTTATCATTATAAACTGCTCTGTAAACAAGAAATGGTGTAACCGACTCCTCAATAAATAATACACCTTTCTTGAAATAACAGCTATCACTAATCAACGTTTTAAATGCAAGTCCTACATGTATTTAATAATACAGGGATTTAATATATTGCAAATACAAGGGATGCTAAAAATAATTCACCAACAAAATATGTGGCAATGCTTTTGTGGGTATTGCGTGTCTGTTTTCTTCAATGTTATACGCTTCCATACCGTGCTATGAAAAGCAACACTGAATACATACAATATCCAGTGTTCACGTGCCTCATTAGTAAATCACTCTTGGGTTTCAATAATAAATATATGGTATTAAAATGTAAAATTGTAGATAATCAAGATTTTTATGCTACTATTGTAATGGAGATCGCCAAGATTTTATTTACCTATCCATCTATTTACTCTACAGTTATATACTCAGCAATTCTTATTTATTAGGAGCTACTTTTGCATCAAAATATAACCTTAATTTACAGAATGGCACAAGAAAAGGTAAATTCCATTTCAGATGAGGAAAGAATACTCTCCTTCCTTAAAAAAATAAAAGGAGGAAACGCAGAAACTTGGATTTGCACAACAACACAACAGGGCTCCGAATAATTCATGCTATTCACTTTAACTACAATTACCTTGCCCAGTTCAAACTTGTCTGTGGTTTTGGAAGCATCCTCAGCTCAACTCCACCTCCTCATATACTGGTTTTATAAATCAGGACAGAGAAGCAGTCCTGGGAAGAGTCGGTGCGCTCTGATGCTGATCCAGGCACAGCTTAGCCAGCAACCACAGGGGTGTGGAGGGGACTTTACAACTAAAGAGGCCTGAACAGCTGACTTGAGGCTCTGAGGCTCTGATCTTTTTTCATATATTTTTTTCATACATTGCCCCTTCACTTGGCTTGACCCTCCACCGAGCAGCTCACTGATTATTTTTACAATGGTGCTCATCACTAACTTTCCCAAGAGTTTTCCACAAGAAATACGCCCAAGTCTTTGTACCCTGTAAAATCTACTTTCCTCAAAGTGCAGTGGCTGCCTTCTTCCTCATGTAAATCTTACTGGCCGTGCTGGAATCCACGCTAACACTAGAGGGGGGCAGCTACATGCAGTATAAATACAGATAACGCTGGCTGCTCTGAGCGGGCTTGGATGACACCAAGATGTTTGTTAGCAAAATAGGTTACTGAATAAGGTTATTTTTTCACATAAGAAAAGAAGGTACTGAAAGCTGGCTGCAGCTTTCAGTCACCACTCCTCTGCGGGAGCTCTGAAGCCAGTGCCTCCGAGCAAGACCACGCTGCAGACTGCGCTGACCACACGCAGCTCCCAGCACGGCGGGAACCCTCCTGCCCTCCGGCAGGGAAACAGCCCCTTCACACTCACCACGACAGATTACGCAGGCACGCACTTTCCAGAATAGAAGCAAAACCACGGTCTAACTTTGAAAATAAGGAACAAAACATGAGGGGAAGTTGTAATTTTTTCCGCTACAACCTGAGCTTCCCAGGGACGACACGTACTTCAGCACGAATGGCCGCTGAACGGCCACAATTCTAGGAGCTGCTTTTTAGAACAAGCCCCAGCTTCAGGCTGAATGTTTTCAGTCTCCAGTGTACAGGGCTGCACTTCGGCAAGGGCCTCGGTATCTCCTCGCCCCCATCCCTGCAGAAGGCAGTACAGCTTGGCAGCTTCTCCACTCCCGTTTCAAGGCTACCTGACCTCAGTTTTCTGTGACAAAAGGAAGCTGGGGGGAGGGGGGGGAGCGGGCTGTAACTTTTTAAAGAATTGAGGATAAGAGTATTAACAATGTATGATTTTGACCACCAACTCTCCTGTTTTAAGCTTACATGCAGAACGTGCACTTCTGTATCCTACTCCCTTCTGGATCATACATGAATGAGAAGTAAAGAATACTAGTCCAGGGACACTGAGTGAGAGAGGACAGCAGAAGTACAGAAAGAGTTTTTTCCTGAAAATGGGAATAAAGCAAAGCAAAGGACAGTAACCAGAGCTCCCTCTCGGGTACAAAGTTTTCTGTCTCTGCTTTTTATGCAGGGACCTGCAGAACGAGCTGTGACTGGGAACAGGTCAGCCACGGAATAATCTGCTGCAGTGGCCAGTTCCCCTCAACTAATTTAGCCAGAAAAAACTCAGGTCGTTCCTTGTTCCAAGGATGAGAGCGAGCAGCAACAGATGGCTTTCAAAGACTCACGAGCTTCCCAGCTCCAGAGGTGGCTGCAAGTCCAAAAGCAAAATGGGGAAAAGATTGGCAAGGGACAAAGTCAACTTTAAAACTTTCAGATTATCATCCATTTATTGGGTCTCGTCCAAAGCAAACGGTCTGGATCTGGGCTGCCAGTGAACGTTTATGGGCACCAGCTCTTGCCACTAACTTGCTAAAGAAGCTGTACTCCCACTCACCTAAAAAGGGAGTGAGGAAGATCACTGCAGCTACGTTAAGTTGTCGGCAAAACAACAGGTCCAATGAGATGTCAAGTTAAAAAAGGTCATTTTGACCAGATGCTGCTTTTAAAGGAAACACCTGGATATGGCTTTGTTCTGCATGATAAACAATACGAACATTAAATCCTTGCTTACAACTTTCCTGATACTATTTATGTGTTAACATATCCATTATTTTTTCCTCTCATTTGAGATTTAAAACACAATTATTAAAAAATTATTTGTGAAGACGAGTATAATATGACTTTTTGGGGAAACACTACAGGTTCATAACTCTTAATATACTTCACATCTAAGTGAGAGACATGGGGCTTGAAATACAACTTGAATGTTAAGGAACGTGAACCAGTTTCTGAAGTTGTGGACCAGTTCTGAGGTTAAGGACAGATCAAGGAGAATCAGCTGCTGGATTTAACTGCTTTATCAAGAAGATAACAAAAGTCTTTTGTTTTCTTTTTTAATAACATTCAATATAGAAAACATGGACTGCTTTCCTAAGCAGACAACTTACAGTGCAGACACAGCTAGGACTGGTGATACAAAAGGTATTCCAAGCACATTCAGCATGCAAAGCCCAAGGTGTTGGATGGCCACACACATATCTTGTTTGAGACTCCCAAGAAACAGAACAGATATTGCAGCATGGATTGAGAATATCATCACGGCATGGGACATCATTACATACCGTGTTACTGCACACAAGACTATAGTAACAGTTTTAGTCCCACTGAGGTAAGCCTGGTCTCCAGAAGCAGCCAAACAGACTCCAAATCTCTTTTCCGACCGCCCAGGCTTGTTAACGATTGCAGATCTTAACTCAGGTTGGGGCAGTGGGAGGCACATCCCTGGGCAATGCACAGCGGCAAGGCATCCCTACAAGAATTCTCCATTTAATTCTACCTTTCTGGAAAAAACTACCAGGATTATTAAATGCTTTTCAACAGAAGGCAAAACCTATTGACCAACCCTGAAATATAAGATCATATTTTGAAACATATAACGTTGGATCAAATGGTCTGAATGCGAGTTTCATGAGAGCACCAGATTTTTCTCCCTGCAATTTGGGGAGAAATATATCTGTGATATGACATCAAAAAGGGTTCCTCAGCACCAATACCTAAAACCTGTTAGCAAGACAGCAAAGCAAAGGGAGGGAAAAATACAAAAGCTATACACGCATATTCAAGAAGTGTGCATACTTCTCATTTGGTTGAAAACAAAAAAACACTGTGATAATACTCCAGCATCATATAGATGATACAGGGAGACTGACAGTTTAACAAGGTCTATTTTAACCAAGCCAGAAAAGTTTTATTTTTATCCTAAAACAGTAACATACAACAATAACATTCTGCAAAAACATCCACTGGTCCAATTACAGTCTGGCTGAAGTGATCAGCACACAAACAGACCAACATAATCAGCATTATCTTTTGCACAGTCCATCACCCTTTGCAGTGAGTTTTTTTCAAAGCAGGGCTTGGGGCTAGATGGGATCTCTAGAATAAAACAGAAACCTCCATACCAGCAGTCTTTCCCTTCTGAGGTTACAAGATCAACTGGATTTCCCAAATGTGGCTATCTTGAAGTAAAGAGACCATATACAACCCTACTGCCTCATCTGAAATATCAATGGATTTGTCCATTCCTTAAAATTTCCTTTTTAATGGCAACATTTGGGGATATTAAACATACTTTATTTTCCTTTCAAATAGTTTTCAGGCATTATTCTGCTTGTAAATCTAACGCATAAACTTTAGGGGGGGAAAAATACATGCTTTTCTCCTACTCATAACTGCAAATGTCTCCCTGTACTTTTATTCCAAATTTAGTATAAATGTAAAATATTGCTGATAATAGATCTTCATCCACTGGAGTATCTACAAATTCAAAATTTTCTCAAAAAATTTACAACTAATCCTGTTGTAGTTACCAGTACTGTTGTACTTACTCATACTTAAACACAAAGGGAACTTCTGCCACTTCTCAGACACGGAAAAAATTGTCCCGTTTCACTAAGCCATACCTGTTCTTTAAGCCAAATGGGAAGTTCCACTCTATAAAGTCTTTGGCTATACTCCAAGGGTGCCAAATCCTACTTTTCCCACAGTGAGATGTTGAACGGGCTCAGTTCTAAAGATGAGTAACAATTTATAATCAGGATATCAAAAAGACAGACATCAGGATGACGTGTTGCCCGTTCCCCTATAACTTAGCCACAGGGACCAAGACACTCCTGGAAAATGTGGAAGTTTCCCCTGTATTTATTTCATTTATTTCTCACGGTGAGAAAGAAAAACCAGATGTAAAACGCAGAATTTACTGCAGGGCTACCTGAACATCTAGATTATTTGGTTAGAGTAATCATAAAATCATCACTGGCATCCATAAACACAACCTTTTACTGTCTGAAGAAAGCAGCTACTACTTCCCTGGCTGCATTTGCGTCCAACCTACCTTTATGCTCAGGTAGCTATCACCTCTCGCCCTTGGAGCTGGGGAGCGGGGATTCATGTCGAGGCTTCCTCTGCTCCAACTTCAGTGCAAAAAAAGATTCCGTAACACCCATTTTGTCAAGGCAACGCAAAGTACTGATGCCCGGGTCCCTGCGCTAACTTCACTTGACATTGCTTCCATCTTACGCCACGCCACCTCTTTTTGGGCGATTTTACGAACCGTAAGCGTTCTCAGGAAACGTTTTCCACAGCCCGTCACCCGCTGCCTGGAGCGTGAGAACGGGGAGGCCCTGCTCCCAGGCCCAGCTCCCCCCGGCTTGCTATGCTGCTGATGCAACTTCCTCGGCCGGCCCAACGCCGCCGCCCACTGAAACAGCCAAAGGGAAAAGAAAACAAAGCAGTTGGGACCTGCAATGCCAACGTTTGCCCGCCTGCGAGAGCAGCGTCTCCAACGCGCACCCCAGAAACTTGCAAAACTTGCAAAAAAGTGCTTAGCAATTAATTCATAAACTTTATCCTCTAGTCACACACTCAACAATAAGAGAGGCAGTAAAGATAAAACAGCTTTGGAGCTAGCCAGTGGAGCGAGAGGACGCAGGCAGCTGATACACTCACTACCACTCGGTCTCCATGGCAGTCCTTACTGCTCTTGAGAAACGTTTTGTTGCAAGCCTGCTAAATCAGGCTGGCAGCAGTGTAACCATTTCTCTAAGGTTTTGCTAGTTAATATAACATGCACTAAGTATGCAGTATATTGCTTCAAAATCCTCCTCTGATGTTGTAAGCCACTCAGCTAAAATTCTAGGTATGGCGCTACAAGAAAATGGGACCAGGACTGTGAACTCCTCCTGCAAGTGGGGTGCACTTTGCAGACAGTCTGCTCAATGGCAGTATCACAAGCAATCCTAAGCAAATATGCCCCGGGTCAAATCATTACAGCATTCATTCTCAGTAAAAAATCTTAGATTATATATTTCTCCAAGGTGTGAACTGACTAGCAAACACCAGCACACTATCCATCGCAACAGAATCTCATTTTCAACAAAAATACATATTTTCATCATTCTCAGGATAACATGACTCATTTTCAGACGCATTCATAAACTAGTAAAGCGATGCTTTCACCATTTTCATTTCCACTTCTAGTTACTTTTAAGTAATTCTGTGTAGAAATTACTAGCTAGAACAGTTTCTGGGACAATAATCCTTTTTTTTTTTTTTGATGGAGAATCATCTGGAAACTCGTAAACTTTTTCGTCAAGTCCCCCCCACCGCGAGCACACAGCACAATGCTCTGCCCTTTTGGCCTTCTGCCTCAGATAAAGAAGAGATTACACAAAGCGCTGCAAGGCATTCGCTCCCAGGAGATGGTATGCTCCCCCATGCGCCCCTGCTTCGGCGCAGAGGAGAGAAAAATAACCTCTCTGCTCAGGTCTTGCACTTTAAGCTCCTGAAGGAGTCACAAATTGCTGCTCTCGGACAGCCTGGAGTTACCTTTCAGGACATAACGTCTCCTTTAACTGTACACATAAATGGTGGCTGCAAAATGTTATTTTCAAAACACAGAGGGCAAAACACTACCAAAAATCAGAGAAACTGAAATAAATCATCCTCGTCCCCTTCAATAATTTTTAAAAGGCGGTTAGCCATACCTTGTTATATACAAGAAAACGTTCACTGGAGGGACTGTTTTAGTGGGAGCGTATTTAGCTAAAATTAGTCAGAAATACTTGAAAATTGGGTGGTCCTGTTATTCTTTAAAATAACCAGAACAGACTTTTTAAGAGGAAGAATAATGATCCTAAATAAAATCCTAAAAATGAAAAAATCCAACTTTATTTTAACTGCTTTAAGGAAACCTGGTTTGCCAGAGGATTTATAAATTAAGCTTTAAAGGAAAGTCCTTATTTTAGAGAGTTCTCTGTTCCTGTTTGCAAGAAGTTCTGTCTTTAGCCACCTTACAAACGCCGCTTCGGGCGTGCTGTTACGCTTTGGCCAGCTGTGTAGGAATTTGCTATTGACACCTTTTAGCATGCCATTTGTATTAAACATGCCCTTACTTCAGAATCACCCCAATTTTCATGATTCAAGACAAATACGCCAAACTGCAAATGGGACAATAACAGTCTGAACATGCAATAGGCATGTGATTTTCTCCCTTTTACAATGACAACTAACCTTGGTGGAGCTAACCACCAAGCATTTCAGACACCTAAAAGTGATTAAGCAAAAAGCTTAAAATAGTTTAGAATTTAAACGAGGAAGGCATTTTGCTCTTTAGGATACTCTGCCGTATTATATTTTAAAGTTAATTTTATGATTAATCTTTGACATAAAGTTCTTTATAATTCTAAAGCCAAGTGACTCTGTCCACCACCAAGTAGAGACCAATCATGGAATAAATCTTGGTTAACACAGAAAAGAATTATCATAGAAAAGATCCGAGTACCAAAAAAAAAAAAAAATCAAATTTTCCATTAAAATGGCACAGAAGAACTCTTGTCCACAGCAATAAAAGTTAGGGAGTAGAACAAACTGCTCTGTTGCAGTTTCAATGAACTGTTTCAGTTCCAGAGCTGATAAAGGATTCTAAATAAAGGCAAGGAGAAGACAAAGTTGTGCAGATAGCAAGGCAAGCTTTAAAGGAATATATGGAAGTCATATAGAAGACTAAACAGAGCAGGTGTAGTAATTCAAACTTATCTGCCTTTTTGTGTCTGTTCTTGTTTTGTTCTTTCAAGAACTTAACACTTTTATGCAATCCATAGAGATCATGAAAATGAGCAAAAGTTGCAAGGCAGCCTTTTACAGTCTTAGGTGTATTCTTTAGGTTATCTGGAGCCAAATGAGATCACTGGGGAGACCTGCTCTCTATTAAGGCTCTTTTCAGGCTGAGTCATTAACATTCTCTCTCACAGTCCTACTCCCTGAATTTTGTGGCCAACCACTTAAAATAACGCCACGCTAACTCCTTCAGGGACATGGACTTTTTCCATCCATAAAACAAATTACCTTGTGACACCATTGGGGTTCAAAACCAGAAAGTTATTCACCAGCCCTGCTGGAATACAGAACTACAGCGCTGCCAACAGCCCAGACCACAACGCTTTTCAGCATACCCATGGGAACTTTGCTTGTAAAAAAGGAGGCTCAAAGGCGTTTAGTGGAATCCAGCATGTTCTTTTTAACCTCAGCGCAGATAAGACCTAAGTCAACCTCACCTTTACTGCCCCACTCCCACACCGCACCGTGATATATATGTAATAATGGTTTAAAATTCAGATATGCTAATAACCCCTAATAAATTAAAGGATCTGATACTGCAACTGCTTATGACTGAAAGTAGTGCACTCTAGCCTAAGTAGTCAAAAAGCAGCAACTATTCTGAGGAGCAGGACTGTATATTACAGCAATAGGCTTGCATCAAACGTTGACAACTAACGATGATTCTCCTTCAGCTTAAATGTTAGCTGCAATCACTGTCTCTTTTTACATATAAAAAGTTGAAGAACATAGTTCTTCCCATAAAGTACGTAACCTAATGTGGAAATGAAGGGTAACCAGATTAAGACATGACCCAGAGGCCAATGTAAGTCTTTACAATGCCTACAGAAGTATTTCCAGGAAGCAAGAGCAAGCAGATCCTGCCTCGGATGCTTTCATTAGCCTAATCTGTGCTGGGCTATATTGTTTCCTCATTTTTTTCTCTTCTAACTGTACTGAATAGTGACCACTGCTGCGTGCAGAAATTATAGTAGCCTGTTTAAAACACATTTTGAATTGAATGAATATTTAACCAAAAATGCTAGTTGCATCAGCTTTACTCTGAAGTGACCGATTTTTTCAATTTATGAAATATTTTGTAAATTGTTTTTTCAGGCCCAACAGTATAAATGGTCAGCTTCACTGAAGAATTCTGTCAAGACTAATGTCCCCATAATCTCTCTCGAAGAGTTTTTGCTTTGAATGCATCTCCTATGGTATTAATGGTTTGAAGCAGAACTAACCTTCAGTTCACAGGTCACTTAACATATGGAGTTGTAGAATTTGCTTTAGGTACACAGCTTTTTGTCTTTGCGCGTTCTCTTTTCACAGAGAAGAAGTTTTCGCACGGAATGAAAAGTCTTTTGCTTCACATTTTCCAGTATTGCTTTTAAAACATACGTGTGACCGCTCTGACAACTCAAAAAGAGCTGTCAAAAAGACAAAACCTATTTATTTTTAAATGGAAAGAGACTTACGGAAACAGGATATGGAACAGCGGTAACGATTAAAAATTGACTTTGGGAAGAGCTTAGTTTGACGTATATATTTTTTTAATTCTGTAATATTTAAAACCTGCATGGCTTTAAATACTTAAATATCTACCCCAAAAAAATGTAAGGAATGCAGAGGGTATTCCCGCTAGCAAAAGCATTCCCCAGCATTTTATTTAGACGAAGAGAATGTACCAGAACCAAAGATATAATACATAATTGTTTATCCTTACAACACACTAAAAAAAGCTACCTGATAATAAAAACTAGCCCACTCTTCACAGTCTGAATTTCCATAAAGAATTAACAGAAAGACAAGTAAAATACCATCATTCACACTCTCTAACAGCATCTACCATTTCGTGCTAAAGATGCAATGTAATGTAAACTGCAAGAGCATTTTAATACGTTTCAGCAAAAAGCAAAAGGGAGGTTGACAAGGGCTTTCATCTTTCTGGGCTGACACTGACACTTTTAAAAGTAAACACTAATATATTTTGCATTCTCTTCCTCCCAGGCTGTACTCTACTAAAATCAGAGTTCTTATGTTATCAGACATAATAATTTATGTATTCAATAAACTACAGGCTTGTTATGCTCTGTGAGCTCAGGAAAACCACTTTGGACATATATGCGTGGTTTTAAGCTCCATATTAAAATGAATTTATTTTGACATATGATAGGAATAATAAATACACTACACTGCCTTTCAATAGTTAAAGCATTTAGACAGAATACAGAGCAGCCATTAAGCTGCTCACCTGCATCTAGCCAAGATACTAATGTTAAGTAACATCAATGTGCATCAAATCTCTTGCTATGTTTGAAATTCTGTCAAGAACAGAAACAGATTACGGAGCGTGGAAAATATATAAATCCAGACTGTGATTAGCTTAAGTTTCTTGTTAAGAAGCGTTGTTTCCATTTAATGACTCATCCATCAATCCCACATTCTTAATCAGCAAGATCCAAGTCCTTTTAAGCATGGATAAGTGATACCAAGTGTATTCCTCTGGTGGATTACAGGGGACC